TCTCAGGATTGCCTGGGCACAGTTCTAAGCTGAGATTCTAAAATTTAATGAAAATCTGAGAACCCCTAGAGGAGCTGTTGCTCCCTAGATGCTGAAAGTGGCCAAGGGCAGTAAGGAGGAGTTAAGAGAAGTGACCTAGCCCATTTGAGGCTTGCATTATATCTGGTCAGATGTATCATCTCTATTAAGAAATGCATATGTCCCAAAACAAGACCCTAGAGCAGGTTTAAAAGACTCAATGAATCATAAAAAAGGTTTCCTTGTATGACTACATAATATGACCCAAATTAATGCTACTTCACATTTGGATGATGCATAAATAGTTCTTTGTGCTTTCACATAATTATGTTATTTGATTGATTGGCATATAAGTCTGAGTTGGGTATTACCTTTATCTCCAGTTTACAGAGGAGGAAACTGGGTCTTAGAGAAGGTGTCTAAGATATGACAACTAGGAAATGTCTGAAATAATCCTTAAACACAACTTCCTAGGCTTGGTGCTCATTTTCTGCAATAGTACCATTTTCCTGGGTCTGTTGCAGTGATAAGCATAGCTGTCAGTACCTTATCACTGTTGCAGTGATAAGCATAGCGATCAGTACCTTGGTTCCAGACTAGAATTAAATAAGAATCCATTGAACTGATTTGGTTTACAAAGTTTAAGCAGCAATCTATGCTCTAGAGTAGAGCATGGCTTTCTGCAGATCCCCAAATGTTGTGGTATAAGTAGAGCTAGCCAGATATCTACTAGAAATATACCTGTTCTCTGCTAGAAGCTGCTTATTCAAGTTTGCTAGGGGGAAGTTCAATGATATCCTCAAGCATAAGAATGGGGTTCATGTGGCTATCTCAAGAATCCAGTGGTGCAAAAGCTGGGCTGTCTCCAATGCTTTGGGCCATGCTTGCTTTGTCTCCAAAACAGAGATAACTTTAAGAAACCAAATACAGTTTGGTGGATCAAGAGCTAGAGACCCCCATTGCATTTAGTAGTGTCCAGGGGCATACTTAGCTAGTGAGAGCATTAACTTCCCTGCCATTGTTCAAAACAAGAGCACCATTTGTGCTTTTCAATATGTCAAATATTAGGAAGCTATTGTAAATCAGTATTTTTTTAAAAATTTCATTTATATTGTTTGCTAAATGCTACTACAAGGACTCTTGACTATGAAAAATGACAAATGCAAAGAGCCATTCCATAGAACTACCCTATATAATAAGAGCCTAATATGCAAATCTGGCAAAAAGACCAGTCGCTATGACATGCATTGACCACCACGGGGCAGATGCACAGGCCAACCAAGGAGGGTACCAGCAGAGTCACCCGCCCCCAATTGCCCCACCAGTCACCTTGTAGAGGGAAGTGACTGGCGGCGGCGGCGGATGGGGCCGGCGTGTGGGCAGCACCAGGCCATCCAAGGCGGTTGCAGTGGGACCCCACCGTTGCCCTGCTGGCCACCCCACAGATTGGCCCTGATTGCTAGTCAGGCCTAGGGCCCTACCCATGCACGAATTTGGTGTACTGGGCCTCTAGTGACAAAATAACTGGAAGCTCCTCTTACCTGTTGCTTTCATGGGCTAGAAGGCGTTCTCTTTAACACTAGTGGATGTAGAGGATGTGCAATAGGGAACTCACATTGACCACCCTATAAGTGATTAAAGACAGTCAGAATCATCCAGGTAAGCTGTTCTGGCCATAGAGGTTGTGATGTTGCCTAGGCAACATAGTGCCAAAGTATTTCAGAGCTTGAACTTTAGAATCAGAGCTTTAGCAGTCAGAACTCTACCATTTCCTATTCATGTTGGACAACAACTCTTGTCATTACTAAATCTTATTTCTCTTGAGTGAGAAAAAAAGCAGATCCATTCATTAACTTATCATTGCTTTTAGAGTTCTTATCATGTTCCAGATGCTAGATTTACCATGGTGGATAATAAAAACACTCTCCTTTATATTTAGATAAAGTTATTACTGGACTCGTTTTATGAATTACATGAGATGATATAGTATAGGACTGGTCCAAGGTTTTCTTCAACTAACAGAACATTCAGGAGGTACACAAGAACTATCTTAAAATTACTGAAAGTTTTAGGATTGGTGAGGCCAATATACCTATGCCTGACCATCTTGTACCTCCCTTTCCCTCTACTATGGATCAAGACTAAGGACTTCCTTAGATCCCCAGAGGTGCCTGACTATCCTGGGCACAGGACTAGACGATGTGCTGTGTGAGAGGATAGAATATTTGGGAGATTTCAATGGGACTGACACTGATATCTAGGCTGCTGTGTATTTGGGGGCTGGGCCAGAGGTAGGTACTTTCTGCCTTTTAAGCCACTTTGTATAAAATCTGCAATACAGCTTCTTCTAGGTACCTGTGCCTGAAATGTCTGCAATAAAGAGGTATTTGTTAAAAAAAAAAAAAAAAAGGTTCTCAACTACACTTTTTCTTTGTGGCTCAAGGGCTGTATTTAGGACAAACGAGGGAGTAAATTCTATGGGGCAAATCTAAGCTTGATAGGAAGTTTTGACAGTAAGAGTTCCCATTAATGACTGTCTCAGAAAGGAGCGAGCCCCTTCTCACTCAGAGTCCAACAGAAGCTGCATGATTATCTTTTAGGAATCTTGTAAAGGCAGTTCCACACTGAGTGTGAAGATTGTAGCCCTCAGTGTTTTATACTTTTAAACAAGAATAGTATCGATATATATTGAGTACTTGTTATGTACCATACCATGAATATTCTAGATGCCCTTGATTTTTTTGCCTTATTCTTCATGAGGACTCTCATATGTCAGACCTTGGTGGCTGTAACAGTGTCTGTGTGCTCTAACAGAAGGTTCATGGTCCTCTCTCTTAGGACAGGATCAGGCAGGTGTGGGGCAGACATGATTGGGTGGGGAGGAGATCAAAAGGGGCAGAACCTAAATTAGAACCATCCATGTGCTTAAGGGACAAACTGGACAACCACAGAATTTAGCTGAGATTATATTTTTAACCATTTATTTGTTGTTTGTAATTATGTGCCAGGCCCAATATTCTGAACTGTATGTACAAAGGTTCATGCCAGATCTTAGGAATTGCTATTGCCCCTAGTGGGGAATGCAGAAACTGAAACCTAGAGGTTAAACCACTAGCTCAAGGTTACTCAGAAGTAGCAAATTTAGATTTGACCCCAGGGCTCTCTATTTCCAAAGCCCTATTGTTTGTTTGTTTTTGTTTTGTTTCTTAGTGTGCTTTATAAAAATTCAAGTGTAATTAATATATAACATTATATTAGATTCATATTGCAGCATAATGATTGGATAGTTGTATATATATTGCAAAATGATCACCACCTTAACCAATAGTTATACATCTTAATCATTTATATTATAACCAAATAATTTCAGCCCGGCAGGTTGAACACATTAATATCTATAGGGTGTGGCAGCAAACAGATGATAGTTCAGACAATCCATTGGCCTCAAAAAGAAGAAAAACTGGAACTCAAACAGGCAGGTGGCGGAAACAGAGACAGGGAGGTGAGTGCCCCAACAGAAGTTTGCCAGTATTTTTGAGTGTCTGCCACTGGGCTCCATTTCTAGGAGAGGTGAGGTGGAAAGGAGGAGGGAGGAAAGGAGCACAACCCAGACGTGCAGAGAACTAGAGGGTCTGGCTACAGGGAAGGTTAGAGAGAGGCAGCCCAGCTAAGGGCAGAACAGCGGGCCTGCTCATGCACAATGCAATTCAGGGACTGGGTTCTTGGTGAATGAAACCCCAACCCAGGCCTCCTTTTTGTTGAGGCACTAAAGGTGTGGCTGAGCACTGCCTGGGATCTCCTCCCAGTCCTATTGTTGGGCACTAAATGCCTTCTGTCCCAGGAAAGAAGCAACTGGGAATGATAGTTTCTTGCATCTCTCAGAACTCCAGCAGTTTTCTCCACTTGTAAGCAGGTACTCTAAAAAAGCTTCATTTTTTTGACTCGGTGTTTTCTCTTTTTCCTTAAATTCTGAAAAGTGTTCAGGATGCATCCATCTGGATGCGTTTTGTTAAGACGTGTATTTATAGATCTGACTTCCATTTCCTTGATCTGTACTCTTATTGTTCATTAAAATTCCAAAGCCAATGTTTCAAAATTTGTTCTGAGACAGACAGGAGTTACCTGTTCCACAAGGACCTTTTTATTAGGATGTAGTAATGCCTGCTGTGTTTATATATGACGAAGAACTAATTAAAAAGGAAACAGAGTGAGATTTCTTATAATTGGAGTAGGCTTCACTTCTAGTAACACATTTGGCAATATATTTAATTGTTTTTGTGTTATTTTAGTCCTGCATCTTTAAAATTTTATGGCAATGCTCTTTTCATGTTACAAATGACAAGGATTTACACAGTAGTGTTGCAAGAGCTGAGAGTAAAGGGTTGGAATATAATGAGGTGTTTTAGGCTGAGGCTTTGCAAGGTAACTGCCATCTTGGTCACTACCACACTATCTCTAGAAAAGCATATTTTTGTGTGTGTGGATTCCTTTTATGGGAACTAGAAGAAGGAATTCAGAGTTTGAAAGCAAACAGAATATTATGCATTAGAATGCTACTATACTTTAAAAGTCTGCGGCTGGATCAGGAGTTGATATCTGCTTTTAGGATTATCTGGGATAAAGCACTATGATTTCCTTGCTTACTTGGGACAGAGGTAAATCCGGTTAATCTTAATTTAGTTTATTTATAAAGCATTAATTGAACACCCTCTTATCTGTTTTATTTATTTATTTATTTATTTATTTATTTATTTATTTAGAATTAAGTAGTGCACAGACGGTGCTTTCCTAGCCTGAGGAAGAAGAAGGCATCAGCTTTAGGTCCTTTGATTTTCTGATTCCCATATGGTCTTAACTGGCTTTCTCTCACAGAATATGACCATATGATAGTCTATTAGACATCACCCCAAAGTGAAACAAATCTAGAAGATTCTGCTCTTAAAAAAAAAAAGGAAAAAAAAAAGAAGAAGAAGTCAGGTATGTTTATTTCACTTAGGTACACGTTGTTCTACAATTCTACAAAGAAATCAAGATGATGGTGGCAAGATTATATGGGAGAAGAAATGTGCCTCTTGTGAATAGAATCACATGATAGATTCAACATTCCCCAAAATGTACAAATTTAAGTTTGTTGTCTGTTTCCTTGTGGAGAGGAAAGAGTAACAAATGAAATATTGAAGCCATAAGCATTTTATTAGCATCCAAACTTTACTAATGAACCCCCAAAATGTACTAGGTTACTTCACTTACTGATGTATTTAAGAGGAGTGATTGCAATTTAGAAACATTTAACATAAGATACAATGCTCCAAATACAACACAGTATATGTCCCTGAAAATAATATTTTAATGGATTATTTTATTTTAAGGTGATGCATATTTAGATGCCTCCTGTCATAGCATTGTAACTTTTTGCTTATAAAAAACTCATTCCATATATAATATACCATATATATTAGATGTTTGTTTTTATCCATTTATATTTTGGAAATAGTTAAAAGGAACTATATGTTTCTATACATTCTAGTTTATAACTTACCATTTACCTTTTTTTTTTTTTGAGCTGATGCTACTTATCTTGCAGATAATTACTTTTTAACCTTTAAAGTACTGTTAGCTACTTAATTTTTTTTATTAGCACTACAACATACATATTTTGTGGAGAAATCATACTCTGAAACAGAACAAGTTCTTTAGGTTTTTCAGATATTTTTCCCCCTTTTGTACCAGTCATTAGAGGACTCTAATGTATTTAAACTGTTGAAGCTCAACAATAAACATTCTAACAGATGCAGACTGGCATGCCTAGGAGGAGGAATGTTTCTTGTCCCTGGAAATAATCAAGCATAAACTGTGAGATGACTTGGTAACATTTTTTGTAGAGGGAATTTAAGCAATAAATTAGTAGTTGGAAGTGGAATTAGATTACCCTTAAGTTTCCTTCCAATTCAGAGATGCTAGGCTTCTCTGGTTGACTATTACTACCTGAATATGTAGGGATACAATGGTACCAAGGACTCCACATCCTATGAATTATGAGAATTCTGTTCACCACACTCAATGTGAGATGATCCACATATTCCTTGTGCCTTAAACCACTTCTTTGAAATGTGATACATTTGTCTTAACACAATTATTATACTTTAAATATAGAAAAGAAAAATATTTCAATACTTACTCCATTTTAAAACAAAAGAAGCAATCATTGATATAAGTTCTGTCATCAGATCCACAAACTGGTCTTATATTATATAACACAGTCTCTCCTCCGGTGGTAATTTTGTAAACGGACTACAATCAATCTGAAAATAGATATTAAAAATCTTTAATTCCTTCTACCAAATTTTTATTCCCAGGATTTAGAATTTTCCAAGTTCAGAAGGCTCCCAATGCATTCATTTTTTATTCTAGTTGACTGTCCTCATCTAATTTCTTTGAAATATATCAAGTATAGATATGTTTTATATAAGATATAAAATTATGAGTAGTAGCTGGTAATCAAATCACAATTTATTTAAATGTAGAATGCACCCAATGTAGTTAGTACTGACTGATCTGTCAGGTTTTTTTTTTTTTGTTTGTTTTTTTAAGCATCAATTCTTAATGCTCATTGTACATTTTGTTTCCTACTTTTTCTCTTTCCCTTAAAAAGTTCTAAATGAATGAAAGTGGGAGATGTATTATAGAAATAAATACTATTGTTTTAATAACTAGTATACTATTGGAAACTTTTAACTATTGGTAACAAATTACTTTCTATACACATCATCAGCACATAGATTTTGTTAATACTAGAGGCCCGATGCATGAAATTTATGCAAGAGTAGGCCTTCCTTCCTCCAGCTGCTGGCATTGGCTTCCCTCCAGCTGCCTGCAGCACCCAGGACCCAGGATTCCCTAGCAGGCATGGCTTTTGTCCAGAAGGTTGTCTGGTCTAATTAGCATATTATGCTTTTATTATTATAGGTTATAGTTGAGGGCCGCTGTTTGAAATTCCTGGAACAAAGCCAAGGGGATGAGCCACTTGTGGGAGCAAGTAGACAATTACTAAGCAAGAATTTCCTGTTTTGATCTTTTTTCATCTGAGCAAATTGAGGAGTGTGGACAGAAAAGTCAAACACATTAAAATTCAAACCCTAACTCTCCTAACCTGGGACAATTATTTTGCCTCTCTAAGCCTTAGTTTCATTATCTGCAACATGAAGGTGATATACCTACATTGTCAGATTAAAATAACAAATGCATAACTGAGCAATGTGTGTGAAATGCTTAGCACTACACAGCATGGAAAACACTGAATATATAATCACTATAACTTCTCTCCCTAAGCTTCCCTTCCAGGTCTGCAAAAACTCCAGTTCTATATAGAAGACTGCATTCCCAGCTCTTTCTGCCCAAGAGTTCCAGACAGGATATTTTACTAATTGTTTAATATTTCTATTTGGATAACCTGAAATATGCTCCAAGTTAAAGTTGAATACCTCCTCCCCTTCAGATATGTTCTAGGAGTGAACTTAGTCATTCCTCTAGTCACTGAGCCCTCATCTTAGGCCTGAGCTGAGTGCTGGAAATACAAAGATTAGTAAGCATGCCATGACAGCAGAGGCACCTCAAGTCTAGTGGAGCAGAGCAGAAAGTGTAGTGCCCCATGCTGCGCACACACCAGCATGATTTCACTTCCTCTCCTTGCCTGCTCAACTCCCAGGGCCAGAATTGGTGTAATGGTCAAAAGTGACCAGGAAACGACCACGGCTTAGTGCTCATTAATCCTTGTCATTCTCACACAGCTACTAAGTCGTGAAGGATGGCTTGAATTCAGGCCTGCCTGACTCCAAACTTATGTCCTTAACATTATTTTCTTTAATAGGATAAATCAAAAGACTCAAAGATGTGAAAGGAGCTGCCTAGGCCAAAGGGTCTCACCACTAAAAAGCTGTAGAGTTTGGACTAGAACCCAAAGTGCCTGACTGCTGGTTTAAAGTTTTTGCAATCTCACCTACATTTTCCTATCAACAGTCATTACTTAATATGAGCCATGAAGGAAAGCTTCATATGAGCCCAAATCATCATCATCTTCTTCTTCTTCTTTTTTTTTTTTTTTTTTTTTTTAAGAAACAGAGAACAAAGAAAGATACATGTGGATCACTTAAAAATGGTAAGAATCAGGACTTGTCCTTACTGAGCTTTGCTATGTATGGGTACTGTGCTAAATCTTTCCAAGCACTAGGGCTTTAAGTATCACCTGATCAAAGAGTTGGCACTGAAACCTAGATACTGGTATCTAACCATTTTTTCCCCATCACCTCCCTTTCAGAAGGAAATGTACACTTTTTGAATAAAAGCACTTTTGAAACTTTAAAAAATAACTCTTCTAATGGGTAGAAATGTAATTATGTACAATGTCAAGCTTTCCTTGATATGGGCATTGAAATTATGTAAAATCAGCAGTTTCAAAGCAAAACAGATGTACTGACCTCTTGACCTTGTCCCGCACATTCTACTTCTGTAAGAAAAACAAATACAGATAAAAATTAATCTCTGGAAGAACCTAATTTCATTAGTAAATAATATTTATGTTTCAGCATTCTCAACCTGTCATTATAAGTATAAGATTCTATTCAGAACTTCTGTATCAGCATATCAAAAGTTGACCCATAAAACAGATTTTTGTTTTGGAGCAGAATTAGAGTGTAGTCAAAAGTATGGAAAAGCTGCTATAACAACAAAGAGTCTTATTTCTTCCTGTCTCATAATCAGAGTTCAGGAAATAGTAAGAGAAAACAATGGAGTTTTTAGGAAGTGTCTGCTCTTTAGTAGCAGGCAGAGATGGCAGGGGTTGAGAATTCTAGGGAGTCAGATCTTAGCTCAATAGTGGAAGGAAAGTTACAGTTCATGCTGCCCAACAATGGGTTGGACTGCTTTATGAAAAGATCAGTCCCTATAAATAATGATATCAAGTCAGAGTAGAGTCTGGATGAACACTTTCCAAAGAGGTTACACAAAATGGACTTGGCCTTAGTTGACCATTTAGGTCCACTCAGTGCCTGAGATGATTTAGTGATTTATTGGTGGAGACCAAAAAAAGGGGCTTTTCAAAAACTTCCCCTATTATCTATGTGAAGTGTATACCCCAGAATTATGTGGGCAGAAGATGACAGGAGCTATAGGTATCAAGGGAGGAGCAGTGTTAGGAGGGAGATACTCACCAATAAGTGCCAGGGTCAAGAGTAGGACAAAGGCTGTCACTCTCATGCTGCTGACAAGGCTAAGGGCAGTCAGATGGAGGCAAAAGAAGTGACTTTCTGGTGTCTGTCCAGCCACTTGCCTTATATATTGTCAAGAGTTCCTGCCTCAATTGTGAAATACCTATTTGCATGATCAGAATCTTGGAAGGAGGTCAGAAACATCATCAGGGTATGGAAGTTCTTTTCTTGTGAAAGACAGATGATTTTATATGACTTTTTAATAGATAACAGGACCCCTTAAAGTTGTCATCATTTCCTTGTCTCTTTCTGATGTGAAAGTTTGAGTGCTTTCACATCTATTACACAGTTTGATCTTCATAATAAATCTGTCACATAGTTATTACCATTTTTTTTGTTTGTTCTACAGATGAGGAAGTGAAGTTACAAGGAAGTGAATTACTCTTTAGCAGGAAGATAATTTTTCCAAGTTCCCCACATGTGGAGACCTGGTACAACTGCTGTTTCCTGAAATGGTGGAAGCTGGTGGGGGAGCTGAGATTGAGTTTGATATCAGAAATGAGCTTGGTAAGTGTTCAATATTTATTTTTCCAAATTGAGAAATTGTGTTCAGTAATTAATTGCTATGCATTTTTCAAGTTCTGTGTCTTTGTACTTGCTTTCTGTTTACCTGGAATTACCTGTCCCCTGCCCAACCAACCCAGTCATACTCAGATGAATTACAACTCAAGGGGAGGTTTCCTTAACACCCTATGCAGACTTAGACTCAATTTCCTCTATGGCCCCAGAGCAATTTGGTAATGTTTATGAAATACTAACCATGAATCAAGCATTATACTAATTATTATACTAGGTATATAAAAATGTATATACAGTCCTGCTCTCAAAGAGTTTTCAATCTGATAAGCATAGAAGAAATACAACTACCAACTATTCAGGACAATTTAAATACAATGTAATACAAAATGCAAGGAAACAGCAGGTGAGCAAATGATGGGCAGTCAGGGAAAGGCTCTAATATTTATGTGTGTATCTTGTGGATGCTTAGTGTTATTTTACTTAAGCACCACAACAATAACCCCATATGCCAAGCACAGGGTTTAGGTACCCACCCAAAGTTACACAGCTTGCATGTGACAGAACTAGTTTACAAACTAACTCCTGACTCCTTAGCCACTTCTCTGCCAAACCAAATTCAGAGAAGGTTTCACAGGAGGGCTAAATTTGAGCTCAAACCAGAAAAGTAACAGCCATTTCCAGTAAAGGAAACTGTGCATGTATAGACACAGAGTCAGGGAAGAGGAGAGTCAGTGTCCTTCAGAGATAATGGGAGAAGAAGAGGCTGAGTGGGTAACAACATGTTTGGAGTCTGGATTCCATCCTGTAGGTTAGTGGTCGGCAAACTCATTAGTCAACAAAGCCAAATATCAACATTACAACGATTGAAATTTCTTTTGAGAGCCAAAAACCGGCTTCTGTGCATGGGCCACGAAGTTTCAGTTGCACTGTAAGTGTGCACCTGCATGTGGTATTTTGTGGAAGAGTCACACTCAAGGGGCCAAAGAGCCCCATGTGGCTTGCGAGCCACGGTTTGCCGACCACTGTCTAGGCAATGGGTAACAGATGAAGGGTTTTGAACAGGGAAGTAATAGTATCAGATTTCCACTACAGAAAGATTATTCCAATATGGTACCTAGTAATGACTTATATACCAGCATTTAAAAGAGTGTATAATTATTTTTTAATTCTTATTTATCTCCCCCTCTAGACTCAGAGTTTGAGCTTTAATTGTATTGAATTCCATTTCATTTCGTGAATATGTGATCATGTGTGTATTTGTGTGTGTGTGTGTATTTGTTTCTTGGAAGCCACTTGGGATTCATTGTACAAAACTTTCTCCTGAACAACCAAATATATATGTTCCTCAATTTTCTGTGAAAACTGAGATATTACACCCTGATCTAAGACACAAAAACAGACAGAAGTCAAGATAAATTATTTGGGGAGAGTCTTTTAATGAGGTACAAAAAGAAGTCAGTAGGTCAGTTGGGCATGATTTGAAGGAAAGTACAACAACTTTTTCCACTCAACAAAGTTGACTCCATGTCTGTCCCTGCCCCGCATCCTCTGCCCACCCAGCCCCCAGAACCCCTGCCAAGAGGAGGAAGAAGGACACCAGAGCCCAGGGATGATGAAGAAGACTCAGGATATCACTGTTCCCCATCCACGTCTACAGAGGAGTTAACATCTTCCTTCATGAAGAAACTGAACCTTTCCAGAACTTTTCCTACAGGAAGACACAGTTAAGGATTTATTAACACAAGAGGACATTTTGCATGATAGTAGAGCTGAAAGGAACCACAGAAATCTTGAGGCAGAACCTTATTTTGCAGGTGAGGCAATGGAGCCCCTGAAAAGGAATGTCCTTTTCAAGGCAGAAGCAGAATTTCCCTAGGCTGGTGAATCCTTCACCCCACCTGCTGCTTCAACTGATCCCAGGGCCCAGGCTGGTCACTCAATGTCTTTAAACATCAGAGGATGGATTCTGCCACAGGAAGTTGAGGTGCCTGCAGGACCTGTGATGGAGCTGAGTCCCTGCTTTAGGAGGACAGCTCCCATTGCATGTCCCCTCAGTAACCTTGAATAGAAGCTAGTCTCTAGGCCAAAGGCCCAGTGTGTATGTTAGAGAAGCGTTACTTTTGTGAAGCAAACATTCCTGCAAGGAGTAAATATGTAGACATGCCTGTCTGGGCTTAGGGCTTAACTTGATATTTTAACTTATTCTGGACTCAATTATTTTTTTAGTGTGGGGCTTAGGACCCTTTCTGCAAGCAAGCTATTATATGGAACTCCACAACTTAAAATAGTCAAAAGCTGAACTTGGAGACCACCCCCAAATTATCCCGTTAACACTTTTGGCAACTTCTGATTGCCTCTACTGTACCTCTGAACTCGGGCAGCAATTTGAAAACTCATGCAATTGTTGAACTTCAACTGAGAGATGGGAGTTGGAGGTTCTGTAACAAATAGTTGGGCAAATAATGGTGGCCCAACCCTGGTCTGACTATGAGGTGATCAGTTTTCCATCCACACCAGCTGCTTCTGGGTGGGGATAAGTACAGCTCACCCAGAGTTAAGCAGGCTCATGGAAAGAAGAGAGGTTTGCAGTAGAGGGCACTGGCCCCAGCTTCTTCCCCCTCCCTGACCCCATGGGGTACTCACAAGCTCTCAGTACACAAGTAGCATTCATTCCCATAGGTGATGTAGTCAGAACCACAAACAGGCATGTATGTGATGGGGCAAGGGATAGCCACCACTGGGTACTTCTTGTAGATGCTGCAGTCCACCTGTGACATACACAAGGGGAGTGTTCTGCATTGCTCCTGGATACCAGGCTAGGCCACCCTGGCCTCTATTGTACAGGAAGCAGAATATCAACCTACACGTTCCAGCTCAGATATTCTGATGCTGGTGTCACTACTTTAAGCACTAATGTCACTCTGACAAATACCAGTCACACTGGCACCACTTCTATTATGACTTGTCCATGTAGTCAACAATTTCAGGCCAGCATTAAACTTAAATCTTACAGGAATTTTGTTTACTCTTCAGAACAACTGAATAGAGTAGGTTCTACTATGACCCCTATTTACAGGGTTGGGGGAGATGAAGGCTTGAAAGAGAGAATTTGTATAACATAAAAGCTAGGAAGTGGCAAGGTTGAGATTTGAATCCAGAGCCTGTGCAATTAACCAAGATCCTACCTCTTCAATGTTGTCTTTTCCATAAGACTTAACCAATGTTTCAACTGAAAGTCATCTCTCTCTCTCTCTTTTAATTCGGGAATGATTTTAAGGCGGTGGTTATTTATGTCGTATGTCTTCAAACACCAGATCAGATATCTTTATCTGTGTCTGCCTCCACTTTTTACCACCCTAAACATACTGACTACATCTACATACATAATCCTACATCCACAGTATATTTGGTAATTATTTGATGACTAAGTGATAGTCAGTAGTAACTGAAATGTAATTCAATATACTCACGGTTGTCAAAGGTAGACTAGCAGCTTCTGAAATAGAAATAGAGATAGCAATGTTAATAATAAAGCAAAGTCTTGAAGTCTCATTAATGTCATTTTGATTCCAGAGATTAAGACACTGTGTTTCCTCTGGCAATAAGTCTCAGCACACATCCCATTCTTATGCAAAAATTTCAGCCATTTGCAAATAGCCATTAGGTAAACTGTTGGTTCAGGCAAGAGAATTACTCAAATTTCCTCCCTTCCTTACCATGGGACACTTCTGGAACTCATTGTGACTTTAATAATGGTTTAAAGTCAGATCAAAACAGGCAGCATTGCAGCCACCACTGCCAAGAACTGAAGCACCATCTTGATATTCTTTCCCTTCTAATTGATATGAAAGGATGCAATATAATTTTAAGGTGTTTACATGTTATTTTATTTTTTTAACCATATAAAAGTCTAATTGTTGACTCCTGGCCCTGGCGAATTGTACTTTATTTCAATCCTCCTGAAATGATTTAGGGAGGCATCCAAGTTGTTCTGCATCTTCGCTCGGAGGAACAGTATCCAATAGTATATAACAACTTCCAATGTTCTTATGTAAAAAAGTTCATTTCTTTGTTCCACGGATGGAAATAAAAAACCTTGAATGGGAAGACACTGGACCTAACTCCCCATACCCCCTCACCCCATTTCTATTAGGGATGTAAGATTCTCTCTTCCCAGGCTGGGGATGTTTCTTTTCTAAACAAGTATGCTTTTTATTCTAAACCCATATAGTTAAAATCCATACAACCAGACACTTCTCTCAGATGCTCACCTCCCAGGAAAGGTTACTCGGAAAAACAAGCTTAATGGTTGTTCACTCTCTACCCTTCCCTCACCTGAGCTGCTGCAGAAGTAGGTCACTGTGCAGAGCAGGAGGAGGCCCCCAATGATCTTCATGGTGGAGGTGGCTGCTATGCAAAGGCTGCTCAGGCAGTCACAGCAGCTGGATCAGCCATGAGGTGGGAAAGGGACCATGTTTATATGGCAGTGCCTGACTTCCCCGCCTTCCCTGTGAGGTCATTCAGAGTCAATGTTGGCTTTGAGAGGCTCTCAGAGCACAATGTCACACCCTGGGTGGTGCTGTAGTCCTTGTCACTTAATTGCTACTTCCTTTCTGAGCAACACATTAGTTATTTGAGGTG